GCCCGGGGCTAGCGCTCTCTCCCCCCCCCCCACCTCCTCCAAGCGCCGCGCGCCCCGGGCCAGGCCAGCACTGAGCACTTGGCGGGCGCCGCCAAAGGTCCCCGCGGGCACCGTGTTGGGGACCACGGGATTAAAGAGTAGATTTCTTGAAGAACATAGTTTAAAAAAAAATTTAATTAGAAACAGATTTCCTTGTAGTTTCAAATAAAATTAATTTTGTACTCAAAAGTGCGGTAAGTTTGAGGAAGGCATGCTACAGATGTCAAAGAACGAATGTTGCTTTAAGAGCAAAACAGAATTCAATCTTAACTTGGAAGTCAATAGCAGGGACTCCATAATTTTAGGGAGTAGGGATGTGAATGAATAGTCGACTATCTGATAGTCGACACACTAGTCAACTAGTCACTTCCCCCCTTTGCTGCCTGTATCAGAGACACGAAGGGTGTGTGTGGAGAGGGTGCTTCAAAGCAGCAGCGCTGTGTGGAGCCCAGGGCCAGACCTTGGGCTCCATGCGGCACTGGGGCTTTGAAATGCTGCATGAAGCCCAGGTCCAGCTGGAAGTCCCCAGCTAGCCCAGACTGCACATCTACTGCTTTGAAACATTGCATGCAGCCCGCAGTCCTGGCCTCAACTGCCTGAGTCCTCCGCTGGCCCCACGTTCCCCACAGTGCTTTTGCCTTTGTAGTGAAGCAATAGCTCTGGAGTTAAGGCCAAAAGCTGATCAGATAGTTGACACTAGTCAACCAGTCGCTGTCCCTTCCCCTTTACTGCCTCTATCAGAAAGAGGTAGCGGGGTACGGGGTGCTGGGGGAGCTGGCTTAAAAGCGGAAGTGCTGTGCAGCGTTGTAAATTTGAAATGTGCAAGAGTCCCCACTGGGGCTCTCGTACATTTCAAAGTGGAAGCACAGCATGGCTCCAGGCCCTGTTTCAGTCTTTGAAATGCACAAGAGCCCCTGCTGGGACTCTTGTATGTTTCAAAGGTGCAATACTGCAGGGCACTTCCAGCTCTGAAATACAGCGACAGCCCAGTGGGCTCTTGCTACATTTCAAAGCAGAAGCACCCTTATCAATTAATTGAATAGTCTATGGAAATTCCATCCACTATTTGATTAGCTGATTAATCTAATTTTAACTTCCCTAATATCAACATAATGAAATCACACTAAGCATGAAATTTGTCACAGCTCTCAGCAATATACGCAAGATGACCTAACACTTAGGTGCAGAACAGGCCTCAAATATCTGCTTCTAGCAAGTCTGCATATCCAACCCTATGTGTAGAAATGCCATTGCATGCTTTCACTAATTACTGAGAAACTGCTAGAAAATCTGCAACATTTATCTTGATTTCCGTAACAACAAATTGCAGCTAACCTTGGCAATCTTGAAATACAAGGGAATTAAAATGTCTGCATATGCTATTACATTCCCCATCATACCTCTATCAACATACCTGTACATTCAAACGATTTTGAAATAAAAAAAATAGAAATAAAGTTACTTACCTTTTAGCTTATTTGTTTGGCACGCATTCAAGAGTGCAGTCGCTTGATTATATTTTGTAAACAGCCACTGGATTACAGATTCTTCAATGCATGCTTCAGTCACAGCAATCCTTAAGGTTTCTAAGTGTACCAGTGCTGACAGAATACAATGTAACCAACATAGAGCATACGTGTTCCTCCACTGAAGACACAAATGCTCAACGTTCAATGAAGGCTGACTGTCTTCATCCAAGATTTCAGATGTTACTGAACCAAGTTCCAAATTTGGCAAAAGTTGTGTTTTGGAACTGGAGTCAGAACTTTCTTGTGCACCACCAACAGAAATAATAGTTCCCAAGTCAACATTATGCTTCAGAGACTCAACTGTGCCACTAGGTTTCTGCTGATCATCCTGTGATAAATCAGGTAGGCATGGCTGGGTCATACATAAATTATAGCCATTAAACACTGATCTTGTTCTCAAGTGTAAAGTGTGCTCAGCATCTATCAAATTGTTAGTCCTAGCTTGCTTTGAACATGAGTCAATGGGGGAAGTTGTAGGACTGATTTCAAAAATCTTCCTTTTTCTCTGAGTTTGATGATTTTTTGAATCAACAGGAATTATGATTTTTTTTAGTGGTTTATAGCCCAGAGGGTAGATGCACTGAAGGGAAGAAAGAAGATTAACAAAATGCGTAGAAAGCATTTCTGGGTGAAAAAAATCCCCTGGAAGTTAATACAAATGATACAGTTCAAATAGAACACAATATTTATGTAGTCACGTTATTAAAATCATGTATGCATAAGGACTAGAAGTGCATTTTGTCTGATAGCTCTCTCATTAAGTGATTGCACACCCACAGATGGTACCTTGATTAACAGCAATAGCTAATATAATTCTCTCCATATCTCTAGTTCTCTTCATTTCATCCCTTTCCCCATAAACTTCACAATATTTCCAGAAAAGGATCCCCATCTCTTTACCACTGCTAATTTGTCAGGAGAAGAACTCTGCTCCTCCAGACAACTTTAATGATTCTCAAGCACTTTGCTCTTCCAGTCCCATTTATAACTATTTTCAAGTTCTAAATTCTGTTTTTCTTTTTTACATAAAATTATATTTGATGGTATATTCAATTAACTTATGGGCACAAACCACAGAAAAGCTCTATATCTTGTAAAGAAATAAAAAAACTCCTCACCCCAGACAATTCCAAACACTAACAGCTATTTTTTTTTAAACAGGAAATGCAGCTAAACTTAAAATAACAAAAATACTCAGAATATGGACATTTACAGTTAAGTTAGCAAATTGTTTTCAATCAAGGCCCCGCAGATACAGACTCCCACTTTGCCTCCTTTGTGTTGGAATACTAGAAATATGGCACACAAAACAATACAGGCAGTCCCAGAGAGTTACGCGGATCCGACTTATGTCGGATCTGCAGTTACGAACGGGGCCGTCTCCCTGGTCTCCAGCAGACCAGGGAGAGGAAGCAAAGCAGCAGAGCACGTGGGCAGCGGACAGCCCAGACGCGTCTGGGCTGTCCGCGTGCTCTGCGGCTTTGCTCCCCGGTCTGCAGACCAGGGGGACGGGAAGCAAAGCAGAGCAAAGCCGCGGAACCCGAGGGCAGCAGGACAGCCACGGCGCGTCTGGGCTGTCCCGCTGCCCCCGTGCTCTGCAGCTTTGCTCCGGACGCCTGTGGTACAGCAGCTGGGGTGCTGCTGGGTTGGTCCCGTAGCTCCGCTCTGGGCGCTACTGGACCAACCGGGCAGCACCCCAGCTGTTCTGCCCCAGGCGTCCTGATTCAGCCACTGCTGGTCAGATTCAGCAACGGCTGAATCTGGACTCTAGTTCCGACTTACATACAGGTTCAACTTAAGAATAAACCTACAGTCCCTATCTTGTACGTAACTCGGAGACTGCCTGTACTTAAATGGTGGAAAAAAGAGGAAGAACAAGAAGAGTGTTGAGCAAGCTTTCATTTAAAAAAAATTTTTTTTTCAGTTGCAAGAAACATAACATCTGCAGAGACCTCCTGCCAGTCTCTGATGGTAATTCCTCCTGTGTTTACTGCTCCGGGGAGCAACACATGCCTCAGAAGTGCTCCCATTGCAGCAGCATGAAGGCTCCACCTCAAGATGAGTAGTCTTGAAAAAACCTTTTACCCAGTAGGAGAATGGACCTAGTAGTTGTTTGTCCACTGACCTTCCAAAGACAAGACTCAGACTTCTAAGATTCAACTTAAGAACAAACCTACAGTCCCTATCTTGTACGTAACCCGGGGACTGCCTGTAGCTTTGTAATTTCCTTCATACATAATGTCTTTATTATTAAATTGGATGCTTTGTCTCAAACTATCCTTTGCTCTTTTCATGTAATTCCTGTAGTTTCAAGAACTGTGCATAGAAAGTACACAGACACTCTCTCTGTCTAATCATATGTGGATAATTATCTAGCAACCCATGGCAGGCATGCCACTTCTGATTTTCATTGGCATGTGAGGTGGAAACTCAGCCCCGCCAGCTCCCCAGGCAGCTGGGGGCCTATGCCAGTGTTCCATTAATGTGTGCGCCTACATGGTGATGCACAAAAAATTCTAATCTAAGCCTGCCCACCTCCATAGGAGCACTAACTTTTCTCCTGCTCCTGGAAGGCGAGTGTCATGGCTGCTCCCATTGGCAGAGACGGTTCGGGGCTGTGTTCGGTGGTGGCTGCTCTGGTAGCAAGGGCCACGTTGGGGGCCAGCAGCCACTGGATCTGAGGCTGCATTTTGAGACAGCTACCACTTGCATTTCAGGCCTAGAACATAGGGTTAGCAGGTGGGTTGCTGCTGCAGCATAGTGAAGCCACAGCAGGGTGGGTTGCTACCAGGGGAGGGGGAAATGTTGAAGTAATCGCCGGGTGAGTTACTGCTGGGGTATGAAGCTGCAGACAGGCAGGTTGTGGGGCGGGGAGGGATTGAAGCCAGAGGCAGGCTATTTCCTGCCACCAGGGCTTGGAGCCACAGACAGGCGGGTTTGAGACGGAGATGGCCTCATAACTGCTTGGGCGGCCACTATGGAGGCTTGTGTGCTACTTAAAGTATCAAACTATGAGCCCCAAATCTAAGAACTCAGCAAGGCAAAGCAAGGCCAAGAATCACACTGAACAGTAAGATCTGCATCTTTATTTATTTATCAATGAAGCTGCTGTAAGTAGGACTATTACTGACTTTAAAAAGTACCACCAGCACACTGACCCATAAATAGAAGTGAATAAGTTAAATGACGGCACAGTACTTCCAAAAGACTGCTGATCCCTGGTCTAGCCTATGAATTCATAGGGGGCAGATTCTGAGACATATTGGGATAGGAACATATAGGTTGTGTCTACACAGCAGTCTTATTTCAGAATAACGCCAGTTATTCCGAAATAATGTAGTGCACGTCTTCTTACTTACCCTCATTGTACAAAGGAGTAAGGGAAGTCAGATGGAGAGTACTGTATCTCAAAATAACTACTGTGTAGACAGCGCCAGAAGTTGAAATACGCTATTTCGACTTAAGCCATGCAATTAACATAGCTCAAGTTGTATAGCTTATTTTGAGTTTATCCCTGCTATGTAATCGTGCCCATAGTGAGTACTCAGATTCAAAGAACAGGGTTGCTAAAAAATAATGTTCTATACACAATCTATCAACGTGGAAAAATGTTGTAATACCTGTGGATTTTCACAAAGGGAAATAGATTCTTGAAAACTAATGCGGTAAATCTGTAAAGCTTGTATGAGGCCCTTCTTTTTGCAGACTGGGCAGCAATCATCTGATGTTAGTTCAGAAGAATTACAGTTCTAAAAAATAAAAAGTACACACTCTTTAGGAAGAACATATCATTGTAAGATAGAAATGACAACATTGAAAACCAATTATATTTTTTTCATAATGCAGAAACTACGTATTAAAAAAGTTAACTTGACAGTGTAGGATTTGATCATAGCAAATAAAATATACATAGAAGATGGAGACTTCTAAATTAATTTGTTTCCTGACTACCATTTTTTTTTTTAAAAAGAGTAGTTTACATAAGGTATTTTGTTGTAAAAGCTTATGTATTAAAATAGAGTTCATTTTATTTGTACTAAACAAAAAGTTATTTGCTGACAGTGAATAAACTCGATTTCTCAAAGACAAGTCACACATTTTGAAAGATCATATGATTTTGAAAATAACACCAGTAAAAAATTCACAGAGATAAATGAATTTAAAACAGAACAATCTTTCGCCATTGCTATAAGATTTCCGTGGAAAATAATTTTAAAAGTTGTTTTTGTAAAAATGAAGACCAATTTAAAATTTCTCAAAAATAGAGAAAAAAGAACTTTGCACGCATGAAAAATAAGTTTCAACTGACTTTTCCCAAATACCCCACCATGTGGAGTGTAGATATCCCTATACCAGTCCCTTGTCCAATCACTTGCAAACCATTTCCAGTCTTCTGGGAATCCATCACTCTGTGCCACTGGCTAATTTATGTCACTTGTAACATTGTCAAGATCACTAAGGATTTTTCAAAGAACTCTGAAAAATAAAAAGCGAACAGTTAAATGAAAATTGTATTAATTTTTATTTAACATTTGAATTAATATTAAAGCATATTTTATATTTTAAGAAATCATGGCGCTTCCCTGATTAAGATGAACAGTTGTGGATTTATAATCAAAATGAAAAAATAAAACAGCACTTCAATGTGAGGGTCGTATTCATTTACAAAATAGATGAACGACTTTAGGCTCTGTTCCAGCAAGCTTCTCCATGTGACAAACCTGAGAACCCACTTCAAAAGTACAATGCTCTGCCCAAACAAAGATCTGCCCACAGAGAGCAGTTTGCAGGATCAGGTTCTAAGTGGGAAAGAAGGATTATTATGGGAAAGAAGGACTATTATTTTAAAGTTTCAGGGGGTAGCTGAGTTTGTCTGTACAGGAAAAAAACAACAAATGGTCTGGTAGCACTTTATATACTAACAAAACATGGATACTATCTTTTGACTTTGATTCTCATCTGCTTTGTTTTAACTACCCAATCTTCAGATACTTACTGACTCCCAGCTCTACCTTCCTGTTTTTCCCTTTGATTTTCCATACCCTCTGCTCCCTGCCTCCCACCCCCTCCTTTTTCCCCCCTCCTCCCGCACCCCCTTCTCTCCTATTCATTTTGGGTCTGCACATCCTAAACTCGAAACTTGGGTCATCTGAAGAAGTGGGCTGTGCCCACGAAAGCTCATGATACCATCTAACATGTTTTGTTAGTCTATAAAGTGCTACCAGACCATTTGTTATTATTTAAAAGTGAAGACTGATCTCAGAATTAACAAATGTAAAGAATTCACACTGTGATTGCTGATCAAGCAAGGAGCATGAATGATTTGCTGCTGCTTTCCCAAACACTAAATTTAATTTGGGTCCATAATAAATGTTGAGAAGTTGATTCTCCAGATTTGACTATTTGCCTCGTAACTGCAGAAAGCTACTGTGTCAGAAAAATCCAGATTTTTTGCCACAATGTGAAGTTACACTTTAATAATTCAACAATAGTGCTACAGTCATACTATTGCACATCTTACAACAGGGAGTAATACTTTACTATAGATATAGCGCCTTTCATCTCAAATAATTTTACAAACTCAGGGCCAAATTTTGCCTTGTTTATGCATGTAAGCAATCTCCTACAGAAATAATTAAAATATAGGTTTCTGTGAACAGAGTTCAGTACAAGCCACCTACACATTAGAAAGCATAATCTAGCCCTCTTGAGGACATGTTTATTCAGAAATCATTTTACCCAGTAGTGAAATTCAGCCATGTCTATGATGAAAAGTAGCAGAATACAGTAATTTAGGACAAGTCTACGCAGCAGAGCAAAACTCAAATTAAGCTACACAACTTCAACTACGTCAATTGCATAGCTGAAATCAAAACACTTTAATTCAGCTTCTGGCGCTGTCTACACAGCAGAAAATCAAAGCAAGAACATTCTTCCTTCAGCTTCCCTTACTCCTTGTGAAATGAGGGTAACAGAAGTTGGAGTAAGAAGTACTTCAGCTTGCCATTATTTAGAAATAATGGCTTGCTGTGTAAATGTACTCTTATTTCGGAATAATGTCATTTATTCAGAAACAACACTGCTGTGTAGACAGCCTTCGATAGTAAGGCCTCAGTAGAACACCCATAAAAGTTAACTGAAAACTCCCTGAGTTCAGTAAGTGCAGGTGTCAAATGTAAACAGAATATCAGAATATCATATCCCATTAAGCTTTCCCTAAAATTTCAGGTAGGTGAAAATATAACTAACTAGGTTAGACCCTTTCTTGTTTCAGGATTATTTCTCTTTTTTAATATCACATCTGAAACATAACATTCAGGCAGCACAATGGTCTCTCTTCCCCATGCTGGGGCACACATTTATTTCTGACTCAGAGGAAAGGGTGCTATTAAATCACCACCTCCACTTCCTGCAGCAATTAAGAATTCTTTGGATTTTCATCTCCAAACAACAGTGCAGCTCAAAATCATTTAACTTGTGAGGTGAAAGCTCTCAACACCATCATTTAAAAACATTACAGGCCATAAAAACATTTCTCTATTTCAGCTCCTCAACATCAATTCTGAAGAACACAAGCAACAGTTATATGAAATTAAAGCATATGCATGATGTGGAGAATGCTGCCCTCAAAAATAAATTATGGTCAGAAGACTTCAAGAAGTAGCACATTGCTGAACTCACTAAACGTACAGAGGGGTAGTCAATTTAGTCTGTAACAGGAAAAACTTAACACAACAAGCAGTCTGGTAGCTCTTTAAAGACTAACAAAAAATGTAGATGGCATCGTGAGCTTTAGTGGCTGCCCACGAATGCTCATGATACCATCTACACAGTGCTACCAGACTATTTGTTTTTTAAGTTTTTCATTTAAGGCAGTATCTTTGTGAATTAACAAGAGAACAGCTCTGCTGAATTATGAAGCAAGCCAAGCTCTCCACATCTCCATCCAGTGGCATATCACATCACCAAGGTACATGGTTTCACTGATTAAACAATATGAGATGTCAGTAACTGTCAACGGTTTACCTCACAAGATCAATAGGAAAATGTTAACTAGAGCATGTACACCAATAAAAGCTTCCTGACCGTCTCAGATCTATAATTATTTAGTGATACTCCTAGACTTCTAGCATTAGCTCTCCAAAATTACATCATAAAATAACCCTCCAAACCCTGTAATCCTTAACCAAACTGATATCAGAAAATATGTAATATTACCTATTTCGTTTTTATTTTCATCAATATTTAACTTAATAAATGTTGAAGTCTACTTCAATGGAAATCTTTATCTGATCAGTGTTTTAATTTTCCACAAAAAGAAATTCCACATTTTGCTAGGGCAGTGTTCAAAAGCTTCCTGCATACCTCCTCATCCACTATACTCCATCCACCCCTTAAAAAAATATTGAAATGCTGTTTTGTAACATACACCATGCACGCAAATGTCAGCAAAGAGAACATGAGCACACATTCTTTAGTGTATCTATTACATATTTAAGAGCGAGTACAATACATTTTAAATAAAATATCCTTTTAGGATGGGAAAGGTGGACTTAACAGAGCAGGCTCTGTAATTTCTCTCTCTTCAAAGTGCACTAAACCAAATAAAGCAGAGTAACATCAGGTAATCTGCCCATGCATTGAAATCTTCGCAGTGACGTAGGTATGGCCAGTTTACTGCATAAAGACTGAATGCTGCTGACATGATGCACAATGGAAAAGACCACACAGAAATTGTTATGTGGAGTGTTGTATGCTGTGTGGTCCCAGGCTCGCCATCACCTCAACATCATAGCTAAAGGACACCTACATGATGTATTTTCAGACTCACAAGGCCTCATTTTTAATTCCCTGTTCTCTCTTCTTTCCTGCTCAGCACTTGCAAGACACGGTACTAGAGCTATACCTAGCTCCTCCTACACTGTCCCTGAATTTAAATAAAAACAAAAAAGAAAAGAAAACTCTTAAAGACTGTTTTTTGAAAAACAGTGATTCATAAGTGAGTTACATCTCAATATATCAAAATACATCTGAAAATAGTAACAAACTTTGTAAACTAAAATACAAATTTATCAGAAATATGCTCTTTGCATTTTAAAATGATTACCCAAGTGTCTGTTTTAAAAGAAAAAAAATATTCTGCAAGGTAGGACTGTAGTACAGACCAATACTGAAGCTTGGTCTCTACTATAAAGTTAGGCTGCTTTAAATCAGTCTATGTTACCCTAAAGATGTCAGTGTCTATACTATAATGCTGCTCCCACTGAAGTGGCCAATTACAATGGAAATAACTCAACCTCCATGAGAAGTGTAGCATTTAAATAGATGTAACTAGCACGATGCAATGTCTGTGTAGAGAATGCATTACTTACATTGGTTATCAGTGCCAGGCCCTGAAATACCTCCTTACCAGAGCTGTCAGCGGGACATGGACTCAGAGGCTGCTGACTTCTCTATCCTTCACCAGATGTGGGAGGATGACAAACAAAGCCCTATTGTTGCCCAGGCTCCCAAGGAATCGGCTAGACTTGGTATATAATCCTCTAACAGCAATCCCATGACTGGGAGGGGGCAGCAGGGTTCCCAGCATCAGCCTTAGCAGCAGGAACTCTCCCCCCAAAGCTCCAGTCCTGTCAACCTGGAGTCCCATTGCCACCACCTACACCAAGGGGGTAGGGATGTTAAATTTTGTTTAACAAATTGATTAGTCAATAAGAATTACCCTGTTCTGCCTTCGAAATGAAGGCGGAACCAAGTTTGAATGCCAAGTGGAGCCCAGGGTCAGCAGGGGACTCCCACAAGAATCCCCAGTGGGGGCTCTTATCCATTTCAAAGAGGAAGTGCCACGTGGAGCCGGGGGACTGTATGTCAAAGTTGGCTACCGCTACACCCCTTCCCCTCCCACAGAGCTAGAGAGGAACTGGCTTTTAAGCCAGCTACCTCCTCTTCCCTGCCCCTTTGTGATAGAGGGAGCAAGGGAGAGGGGGGAGCGATTAGTTGACTAGTGCTTTTGCTCATCAGATAGTCAACTAGTCCATTAGCCTCTTACATGCCTACTCCCAGGCTCTTCGCCGCCATCACCTCCAATGATGGACTGGGAGGTAGCCAGGTTCAGCCTCTTGGCTCTACTCTCTTACCCTCTGGCAGAAGGGGTCCTGGACAAAGATTAATTTTTCAGCATATGTGAAATAGACATTCTTGTCAATTTGACAGCTGCTACTACAGTAAACCCTTGCCATTTGCAGTGGATGCATTCCTGGTACTACCATGAATACTGAAATCAGCATATATTGAGGGCAGAGAGGGGAAACAAGTGCT